GAATTCCGAATGATGAGCGTGATAAGTGTATCCAAAAGGCTGTTATTGCCCATAAAAGGTGCAGTTGAAAACCTAATTGATTTCTATATCTATATTCATCACAGTTTTGCTAAGACATTAATTCAAACGCGTATAGACTGATTCATTTCAAACGACTCATTGCTCCATTATGAGAATGAGTACGTAAAAATATTTCTGCAGAGTGTGATGATATTAATATCCTAAGATTGTTTATGATGTGCTATTAAATATTTCTGTAACTGACTAATAATGAAGCGTATCGAATAGCCAATACTATCACAGATTTACTTGCCTACATTTGCTTATTGAATTTCAATGATAATAAATTGACTTAGAACAATATCTGTTTCATTTCTAATAATAATTAATAAGACTAATTCGGCCTATTTGAATCTTTGATAACCCCTTTTTAAATGTTACTCACCTTCTAGATTTGTAAATTACTTAATAATAAATAATTAGTGCATGCGTGCAAGCGTTAAATTGATCATATACTAGTAGCAATCATATAGCGTAGCTCCATGGCTACTTGTACTTAGATAATTAGACGATTCATTAACTATATAATTTACATCTATCCAAGTTTGAACTTAATAGCAGAACAGCGAATCATCATTACTAATAGAAATCTCTCTGTAGTAAAGAACTGACTCAGTAGCTGTGACTTATATGCCATACATAGTGGCTAATCATTGAATAACTCATCTCTCTTTTTACCCCAACTGGTCTAAATTAAAAATGAATCATCCTAATAGAAGGAAAAAAATGTTATGCTTTATTAAATCAATACCATCTCAGGATATATATTTGGCTTAGTTTGAATAAAAAGATCTTCTTTCTTGATTTAACAAAGTTTCACTTTTTATTTCGATCTGTAACTTGCAGTTCCAATCTCAAAATTAAAAAAATAATCCGTCACAGTTGTAAATATACCATTAGCATTATCCTAATTTAAAAATTAAACTTTTGTAGCCTTAAAATTTATTGAAAATTGTGGATTATGAGAGCTAAATTGAGAAGAATTGAATAATCAATATCATAGATGCCATACAGTGCTATAACATAAGGAATCTACAATTGCGCCTATGATAACAAAACTCAGCGATAACTGTATAATATAAAATTTATTACCAAAAATCTATTAAAAACTTCTCACAAGCTGCATTTAGATTGTACTGAATACTTTCTGCCTAATTGAAAATATGTCAACATAAAGAATAATCATATAAATGATTTTATAATAGCATAGTAACCTCTATTTAAGAGAAGGGATGATTTATAATGATACTTTGAATTGTGATATGATCATTGCCACGACTCGGTAGTTTTATAGTGGTGTTATGTTTTCGGAAACTCTTATACTTTGCTAAAGGAAGACTAGATAGAAATCTCCAGACGAGTTCAGTATAGGTAGAGTGTAGAATTCAATCTTTATTATTTTCACTTCACCGTTATACACTCGATTAAAACTAGTGATTTACTATCAACATATTACAAACACCAATGACAGTATTGACATTCTCACCTGTAAAATTATACTCGAAAATTCATAACAAGTGATAATGTATCAGATAAAAGCATTAGGCAACCATTTTTATCTGTAGCCTTTTCCGTAGATTTGTATACTACTTATGTAATGCTTAGGTGAATATACTATCATAAATTAGCTGGATGAGTTACAGTTTTGGTGAGCTTAAAGGATAAAAATTGCATGATAATTGCTAACGAGAATCTCATTTCATAACAGGTTATGAGTATTC